ACCTGCACATAAATATTTGACACTACGTTCACTTGGAGCTCCAGCAGTTCTTCTTTCTTTGGCAATGCAAGGAGTTTTTCGTGGCTTTAAGGATACCAAAACTCCATTATATGCCACTGGTATTAAAATCTTTCTTTATGTTTGATGATCCAACTAATTTCTTATACTTTTTATGTTCCAACATATTTTCATGCTCTATGCAGTTGCGGGTGATGTGGCAAACATAATTTTGGATCCAATTCTCATCTTTACTTGTAATTTGGGAGTTAGTGGTGCAGCTATTGCACATGTTCTATCACAGTAACTATTCATCATATTTGTGGATAATTGTATTTTTTCTTCATCATTCATCTTTAAATTTAATACATCACATTCGTTTTTTAGGTACTTAATATCAACGATTTTGTTGGTTAAACTGATGCAACAAGTTGACTTATTACCTCCAAGTCTTAAGGCTCTACAGTTCAGTCGGTTTCTTAAAAATGGTATGCAATATATTTTGGGAAACGTTTTCTATATAATGAAATCGATTGTCTTCCCTTTTCAACAACTTTCTTGTGTTTTCTCCACAGGATTTTTATTGTTGTTTAAGGTAATAGCAGCGACTATTTGTGTGACTTTGGCTGCATCATTGGCTGCAAGATTAGGTGCAAAATCTATGGCTGCGTTCCAAATATGCTTACAAGTGTGGTTAACATCTTCACTTCTTGCTGATGGTTTAGCCGTTGCTGGACAAGTAAATGCTATTTAATTTCTTTTTAAAATATTGAAAGGATGCACATCGCTTTTAATATGAGGATTTAACAATATCTTTCACCATGGAATTTTGTAGGCAATAATTGCTTCATCATTTGCTGAAAAGAACTATGAGAAGGCAACGGCAGCAGCAGCTAGAGTATTACAGGTATGTTTGAAGTGAATTTACATTCTTAATTCAAAGGATATAATAATTAAGGATGCTAATTCTTTAGTTTAATTATAACATGGAAACAATATTAATAGACGTTTTGTGAATTGCAGATGGGATTCGTGATGGGTTTGGGGCTTTCTCTTCTTGTTGGACTCGGTTTGGAATTTGGTTCTGGAGTGTTTACAAAAGACATAAATGTTAAACATATCATTGCCATAGGTGTCCCGGTATTTATCTATATTTTAAAATCTATTCGATTCTTTATCCTTCATGATTATGTCACTGATTTTTATCAAAATTAGTTTGTTGCTGGCACACAACCAATCAACTCAATAGCTTTCGTGTATGATGGAATTAACTTTGGTGCATCGGATTTTGCTTATTCAGCATACTCAATGGTTAGGATTCACTACTCAAGAATTAACTAATGGCAACACTTTTCTGCAATAAATGCATATGTCAGCTCTTAGTTATTCAAATTGTTTACTTGTTAGATCCTAGTGGCTATAGGGAGCATCGGATCATTATTTGCTTTGTACAAAGCTGCTGGTTTTATCGGAATATGGATCGCTCTCTCCATTTTTATGGGCCTACGTGCCATTGTAGGCATATGGAGGTAACCTTCTTTTTATCATAGCGAATTTTCGGTTTGTTATCATTCCCGTTATCAACATGTAAGATCATAACATGCCACCAACAACACTTGATCAACCACATAAAAATTAAATAGCATGACTAATGTACCACGTACTAAAATTATCTTACGAAGGATTTCAACTCTGTATCACATGGATCTTAGAAAGTAACTATTTAATGGTTTAGTGATAAGTTGTTGCATACGTTTGCAGGATGGGAACAGGAACAGGCCCATGGTCATTTCTTAAGAGCTAGACTTTTGTTGTTGTGTATGGAAATTGTAATAAAAGAACAAATTATCATCATAGGATGTTGTCGCTCCTTTTGTAAATTTGTAGCTCCTTGGTTTCTGTCTTATATGACAAGTTTCACCTTACCTTTGTTTGGGACACCTCTTACTTGTTTTGAAATCCATTTTTACAGTACTAGAAAAAGGTGAGGTTTATATGACAAGTTTCACCTTACCTTTGTTTAGGACACCTCTTACTTGTTTTGAAATCCATTTTTACAGTACTAGAAAAAGGTGAGGTTTCTTACGATTCATCGGTATATACTATATACTATATATTACGGAAAAACTTCTAAAGAAATATCAGAAATTGATTTCCCTCAGAAATCTCTTGGAACTTCCTATATTTTCTTAGAAAATTAATTAATATTTAACATTCCTAGGTGGTCCTTAGTAGTATTTCTTTACAACTTTGTTTTTATAAAAAAAAAATCATATCCCTTTTTCTTTTAGATGCTAAAGAGCCTCTTATTTATGTTAAAAGGGTTTCATTTAAGTGGGTTCCTAAAAATTTCCTCATAAAAAACTGGTAATTATTGGGTTTTATATAGGAAGAAAGGGATTGAATTCTTTTTGTCTAATGAACTAATTTTTTATTTCATAATGAGGTGATTTAAATTAATAAATAAAAGAATGTTTACCTAGAAAAATAACGTTAATAAAAACTGTGTAAATAATTATAACTAAAATTATGATAATATTAATAATAAAAGATAAAGATAAAAAAATAATCATAACAATACAGTATCAAATAATTTATTCCAAAAATAGTGAAAAATAAGTATAATTAGTGAAGGGACCCATGTTTTGCATGTGTAGGAAGGCATTTTTTTCCCTAGATTTGTTGGTTGGAAATGTGAGAATCCATACACACTTGTATTTAAACTTAAGCTATAAACCCAAAAAAAAAAAAAATAGAAACATCTTAAACTAGCTGCATCGATTTCCTTGCTGTAAATCTTTACAGAGCTCTTGTAAATACTGACTTTTACTGTAGATATCTGAATAGGGTCCTACTTTAAACACACCAATCTATATTAGTAGGCTACTTTTTAGATAAATGATGGTAATTATTATCATATAGTTATTATATTGGCATTGCTACTAATCATTGCATTGTTTTTTGAAAAAGTAATTTTCTTTTTCTTTTATATATATATATATATATATATTCGTATAGAGTAAAAAAAGGAAAAAAAAAATAAAAGGCCTTAAAGTTGCGTATGACATGTATTGTTGTCATGGTTATGTTGATAAAAGTATTGTCTCAAAAAATATATATAACATTAGACTTATTTTTTAAGTAATTATTTCACATAATTGCCTATTTTAAAAAAAAAATATATTGAAAATTGTGTACTCCCATTTACTCATGCTTATTTTTTGTTCGATTTTTTTTCTTTTATGGCTACTTTGATTTTTTTAGATAGACACCCTATTTTCTATTTTATATTTTAAGATAGACACCTCGTCTCTTTTGTTTATTATTTTTTTTATGATTTTTTACCTAAAGAAAAAAATAAATAACTCATAGGGTTCTTTTTTATTCTTTTTTTCTTTTATGATTTCTTTGTTAAACCATGCATACTAAATTTTAATTTTTACATTACTATACAAATATAAATTTATAGTCATTATCATCGTTTTAATTTTAATAGGTTATTTTTTATATCAAAAAACTAAACATATATAAAAGTTATTATCATTATAATTTCAAGGTTTGAAACCGTATAAAAGTTTAATCACAATTATGTGAAATTAAGTTTTTGTTTATATCTTTTTATTTTTGTCTCAAAAAAGGGGCCCTACCGTGGTTTAATAAAGAAATCATAAAAGAAAAAAAGAAAAAAAAAACCTATGAGTTATTTTATTTTTTTCTTTAGGTAAAAAATCATAAATAAATAGATAAATAAAAGAGACGAGATATCTTAAAAAATCAAAGAAATCATAAAAGAAAAAAAAAGAAAAAAGAAAACTAACAAAAAAGAGGCGTGAGTAAATGGGAGTACACAATTTTCAATATTTAACTTTTTTTTAAAATGATCTATGGTCAAAATAGACTATTATTAAAAATAGGTTAGATGTTAGATTGGTGTGCTGGGTAGGTTGGTGTGTATAAAGAAATCTCATCTGAATAAATCTGGTGGTGTCATTTGCTCACACTCCTCCAATGTGTCATTGACAACATCTTCGTGGCTTTTAAATGCACAATCTGCCAAAGTGCACATTGGAACAATGCTCATTGCATCTTTTAATATACCGAAACCTTTAATAATGTAAAAATGAAACAATTAAAGGCAAGAAGGTGATACCCCATTGTTTTTATACCTAAATGAAAATAGGTGTTACATCATTGCTTTTTACCTAAAAAGAATAGGTTAAATTGTATCAGATCAAAAGGATAAATTTAAATTGCATGTATTTTTGAATATTACATTATCATTCACATGAAGAAAAATCGCCTATGATAAATTTATGTATCTGTCTATCATTTATTACATGATCATCAACATGTGCAAACCCACTGTAGGTCAAAATCATTGTGTTGATTCAACCAATTCTTCTGGATTTGAAATTCACTTACATAGTTAATAACACAAAAAGACTAAAAAACATCAGAGAATAGCCGAGAAACGTTTTTGTTGTTTGTTTTTGTCCTAAAAAGATGTTAAGGTTTTGGTCCTTATTAAAGTTCTTGTAACCTTTTTGGTTCCCATTCCAAGTAAGATGGCTATTATTTTTCTAATTTGGTCCAACAAATGTAGCCATTTTGTTTGGAATATGGACAATAAATTTAGAAAAAAACTCAATAAAGATTAAGATTGCAAATTCAGCTGTATTGAAAGACCTAAAACGTAATTTATCAAAAAAAATCTTACTTAGATCAACTTGGATAAGTTGTATACTCTCACCATTTGTTCCTTGAATCTAAAAAAGTTCATTTTTATATGACCTTAAGTGTCATTATCATGGCCTTTTTCAGCAATAAGTGAAGACAATTTCAGCACCATTTAACCCAAAGGTAATTAAGTATTTTAATGGAAGAATACATTGAATGTCAATATTTATGTATACGTCGAGGAAAATCCTACATACAAAAAGTACATATAATTATGAGTGGCAATAAGATTAATGCTATCATAATTTAATAATTCAAAGTTAATATGCATTAAGAATTAAGATTACTATAATATTGCTTTTCACCAATGGGGTTTATGTCGATAGATGATAGATCATTCATATTTCAGTTATGAGTGTTTTCTATTCTAGCAAAACACTATCACCAATTTTAAGGTAAACCAGATGACCACCTTTTGCAGCCAATAAAACCTGTTATGAAAATTAATAGATTAGTCACCCTTATTTATACAAAGACCAAAATACCCTTGGAAGTATACCTAAATAAAATAAACAGTGGCAACAATTATAGAGTATTCAGCTGGTGTATCCATTTGTTTCATAGTTCTCCTAAATTTGACATCACCAGTGTTAACAAATAGGTTGACTATAAATGAAACAACTTTCCTCAAATGGAGCCACATGTCAGTCAAGCTTTGATCCTATTTAGTCAAACGAAATATAATTAGAAAATAGACAAATTAAAGATTCAATTTTTATAGGAAAATGAACAACATTTAACTACTTATAACACTATCATATATACCTTGTCAGATTTAGAACATCTGTAAACTTTCACTAAATTTAACCAAATAACATAACAAAGCATGATCTTATACAAAGTTCATGTCCTGATGTCATAATTCCAAGAGGAATAAAACCTGTAAATGTGAAATCAAATTAATTTATCAATTACAACTCCAAATTAAAGGTAATATGATATCTGACGGCCTGACCTAGCTACCATTTATTATTGTTCCTAGAAGCAAGTAAAAAGGAAACAATAAATAAAGATAGAATGAAAAGGGATGTAATTTCTTGCCTTTTGGTGGACAACAATAAAAAAAGCAAAGAATCTGATGAGTAAGGACATAAATATCAACTCCCTAAAATGAACCCTATATGTTCTTCTTCAAAGTTAATTATTTACTTCAAAAACAAAGAAACCTATTAAAAAATCGAATAATAAAAGCCTATGTGTGTGTGACAGATTTTTTCTATAAAACGTTGTCATATGTTACTTGTAATTGAAAATAGAGAAGACGAAGAAGATGAAGACGGTCCGGTTTACTGAGTTTCCACATGGTAAGCTTTTACCCCATTTTTGTTCATCAATTGCTATATAAACGGAGAGAAAGTTTGTAAAATCGAACTTCAAACCCTAAATAGTATATACAACTTCAGGGTGAGAAGAAGAGACAGTGAAAAAGAAAAAAAAACTCAAACTTTTGCTTAGAAGAACATTAATCGAATCAAAGTGTTCTGTTTTCCATTTACATCCCTAATAAGGTCCCATGATCCGATTCAATTATATGGAGAGAGAGAGAGAGAGAGAGAGAGAGAGATGAATAGAAAGAGGAAACTGAGAGAAGAATGATGAGAGGAAACCTGGTGGTGGTGCAAAAGGCGGTGTCGTCTAGTATCCACAGTCACCGAAAAGCATAAAAAACTAGAATCTAAAAAAACAATTATAGACAAAATGAACAAATAAGGACCATATATTCATGTTTCTTCTATAGGTTAAAGCCGGAAGTAAATAACAATGTTTTAGAGTTCAAAAAGTTGCTTCTTAACTAACCCGATTTCATCATTCGATGGAAGAAGAGCAAAGCTCTTCTCTTTTCTGTTCTTCCAAAAAAAAACCAACAATGATTCGTAATTATGTTGGAATTAACTATCGGTAATATTTATAATAATAAAATGGTCCTTTTAGGTTGTCCTCAAGACTCAAATTGAGTAGAATAAATAAAGGAGAAATTGGTTTATTAATTATTATGGTTAATAATTAATTAGAAACTAAATGAAATTTATTTTGGGAATTAATTAACAGTTTAATTAATTAAAGGATTGAATATTCAATTAATCAATAGTTGGTTAATCAGGAATATTCCAGAACCCTTATGGAATTAGGGTTGGTTGAAAATCACTCCATCCCACATGGGAAAGGGAGTGAATTTCATGGTTGTCTCCTTGTCCGACATGGAAAGGACTACAAAGCCTAGGAATGTATCCAAGACTATAAATAGGGTCTTATGATTTCATTCTTCCTTGCACATTGGCTAGAAGTTTCACCAATCCTTCTTCCTCCCTCCCATAGGGACGATTTCTAAGCCTATTAGGGTTTGTGAAATTGAACTTTCTCCTAGTTATTTTTATTCCACTCTTTGCAGTCATTGGGTGTGATACCATTAGAGGGATTCTGGTTTTGGTCCTCTCATCCAAGCAACTTTGGGGAGGACAAGATCAAGATCTCAAGCATGTAGATGAAAGGCTACATAAGGGGTATGTTTTTCTTCCTTATGTTTTTATGTTTTCATAGCGTAATTGTAATTAGTATGAAGCCATAGATCCTAGGGTGCATGTACACTTAGGTATATCATAGTTTCATTTTTTTTCCGCTACCTAGTTTAAGTGTATTTCATGCATAGAAAACCCAACAAGTTATACATCAAACATCTCCTTCACCACCCACTAAGAATCAGGGGTTTCACCATATTGACAACGTTTTTTTTCAACTTCATAAGAAAGAATTACAGAGCAACAATAGATTTACGAAAGAGATAGTGGTTACATTGAGTAGTGGTGTCACCATTAGAGGAGAAAGACACAACTGCAAACGAAGGAGGAGCTACTTCCGGCCACCATAGCAACCACATATTGGTCCGCCACATCTGCAACCACTATAGTGCCAGTCGCCACTGCTGCTGCTCCCATTCTCTTCCTAGATCTTTCTTTCTCTCTCTCTCTCTCTGCCTTTCTTCTCTCTCTTTTCTTTATGAAATCGCAAGTCACAACCATACACACACCATTTGTTTGGTGAATCGATTCAGAGCTTGAATAAATAAAATAATACTCGTATGTCAACATCAGTAAAGAGGGGGAGACGAAACATCGGAGGGTTGGAGGGGTTCAAACCCAGTGGAGAAGGCATGTGGTATCAGAGAATAAGCCAATGACAGTATTCATGGATGCGCGGGGTAAAAGCGCGATGGAAAGAGAGAAGCGATCGGAAGCGGTGGAAAAAAAAAGAAGCAAAGGTAGAAGATAAGGCGGTGGAATTGGTGGTAGGTGGAAACCACCCAGCTCCAAACCAAGTGGTATCCAAGTCGGCTCAATACCAATCACTGTTCATAAGAACATTGTGATTTTATTGTATACAATAATAATAATAATAATAATAATAATAATAATAATAATAATACATCGTTTGGTGTAAGACGTTGGTTAGCAACTTAACAACATTATTTTTTTCTTTTTTTTGTCGGTATTTTCGATAAACTTCCTTGGAAACCCCTAAATTGTAACACTTTATGGGTTAGCAACATAACAACACTGAAATCATGACACATGTCGGATATCGAGTGGATATCAGATGCATGCCGCGCATGCTGGCTGTGCGCGCGGCTGCCCGCGATTTTTTTTAAATACTTATATCTTCTTCATACAAGCTCCATTTTCAACGATCTTTATATCCATGCGTAGCTATCGACGATATCTACAACTTTTGGTTAGACTTCGTCAGCTAACTTTTACTTTATTTTTAAAACTATATTTTAACACGATTAGATTGTTAAAGTCCGTATTAAAATCATAATTTTTTCATATGATATATGTTCTCGACTCTCTTTATATCGACGGATAGGTATTGATGAGATATTCAACTCTAGTTTAGATTGTTTTTCCTAACAATCTACCGATTTCAATTTCGGTTTCTGGGTTGTAAACTACTATACTGGAAACCACTTGGGTTGTGGTGACTTGGTAAGGCATGTGGAAGATATGGTGGATAACCTATTGACCCATGTTCAAATCCTGGTACCACTCAGCCCTTGTGGCCATGGAGGTTCGCCTGCAGTGACTCCAGGGCATGAGGCAAAGCTTCATGTTTGCAGCGGGGGATTAGTCGGTGCGCGAAAGCTAGCCCGGAAACCCTCGTTAGGGAAGTTCCCTTTCCAAAAAAAAACTACTATACTGAAACTTCGAAAAATGATAACTTCCTTTCACGAAGTCAAATTTCAGAGTTCTTTATATGTACATAATCGTTGTCACAGACACTATACCTTTGGTTAAGATTATTTATCCTAAATAATCTTTTATCAAAACGTCATTCTTAACGCCAGTTATATATTAATTGACTAGCTTGAATCTGCGGGTGTTACAATTATCTCCCCCTAGGATGATTACGTCCTGGAATCATTAACAAAACAGGGCTTGTATAATGACTTTGCACGTTTTCTTTCCATCCTAGGTATCAATCATAACTCTTGTGTCCTTTTTATTGAGTTTTTAACTCTTATACTTCTTGACTACTGACGGTGCTCAATCATGCACCTACTCTTCCTTTTAAATTCGATATGTATTGGAGAATCTTTCTCCTTCTTAAGTTGGCTTAACTTATGATAAGGTCTTTACTTCGACTATAATAATAGACTGATGGGTCACACTCTAACGACCCTTCATCGTATGATGAAATGTCTAGACTGAAGTCTTTACGAGACAGACTCTAACATGGAAGATAACTTCCTTCATGTTCTCATGTGATATAACCATATCATAACAGGTAGCATTTCTAGCTATATGTTGTGATGACTCTGATACTTTTTCCGATCTCTTCAATCATCGTTTCCTTCAATCTTGTAACGGAGATCAGATATTACATCAGAATAGGTTCACAAACCCAAATAACTTACTTTATAGCTTGTATCTTATTCAGACTTGATTCGATATGACCACTAAGGTCGGAATAGTATCTATCTTCTTTAGTCATTATTGAAACAATGGTAACGACGGACATGAATAAATCATATTCAATTACTTGTGACTTAGTAACATTATGACTCTTTCTAATCCAAGTGTGAGTGATGTGCTTCTGGTAGTATAGGCATCTATTACCATTCACACCTACTCATACTCGTCTCAAGAATTGCGTTGTAGTTTTCCAAGTCACCATAGAAGAATTTCACATAGTCATTTAACACATCGAATAAAATAAATAAGGATTATATTATTTCTTGAAACGATTACATAGATATTCAATTTCACCCTACACTTTTCCTTTTATATTAGGCTACGCCACATGATACTATCTATATAGTTACTTTATATCTTGAACTTTAGATATATAGCTCTTTAATCCTAATCTCTTGCATCGTCGCCTGCTTCATCAAGGATCATATAGAATGTTCTTGCCTTTGGCTTCGGCGGCACATTCGGCCTTGTTGCTTCATTTCTCTTTGGGCAATACAGTCACACCCCGAAACCGTGATGGCGGAATCGTTCCGGGGCGGAGGACGTCATGTATAGCATCACAACCAATGTAAAATAGCAACCATAGCAACACAACCATCACAGTGTATACATATATGAAGATGTTTACATCAATTTGAAACTTGTTTGAATTACATCAGAGAGTATATATAAAATATAAACATAAGACTCTTATTGCTCCAGCTTCTCAAAAATCCAGCAGGTACCTGTCTACTGATTTCTTGAGAATACAAGCAGTTTGAAAATATCAACATAAAGCTGGTGAGTTCATAAGCGGTAGTTTGTAATGAAAACTTGTTGATGAGCTCATAAAAAGTATTTTGTATAGCGTCAAGAAAATCCGATACTTTCTTTAAGTGAAAAATGTAGCGTTATCCGTTCCATATAAACCATGAATGTTCGTTACTGAAAACTGTAGTGATATGTGAAAATACTACTTCATGTGACTAGCTAAGGCTAATCATGAAGTATAAGTATATTGTATATGAAATCCTTGCATAAACGATTTTGGTTGAAAACCCTAGCTTCAGCCTTTATACGTAGTGTGTTAGTTCTATTTAGTATAAATAAAACTGTTGAAGGGTGACAGGTTGTAACTAAAGGGTGAATTATACATAATGTGAGTCGTATAACCATACTTGATATGACTAGAGACCTTTCCAACGTTCTTCAGGCGTCGAGTTAAATGACATTTGTCACCCTGGGCATGCCTGCCCAACTGTAGCTAGCAGTTCGGGGGTGGGATTGTCAGTCCCGAATAGATCTATTCACAGATCTCACGATCTCCCTCCAGGAGACTCTGGTTATACTATGATAGGATTTATCCCTGTACACCTAAGGGTACAGTAATGAAGTAGTGCCTCACAGTATCGTACAATCTAGTTTACATGTAGTCTAGTAGCGTTCTACCGTAGTGAAAATCCGAATGTATATTGTTTGTAGTGATAATTACAGTTATGAAAACGCGATAAAGTAGTGATGCAAACTGTAAACAATTTCTGTCTTAGTGCATACGTTTAGTAGTGAAAGTTTCTATACTTGTTATGTTTAGAAAAATCCCAAACTATACTGATTATAGTTTGCATGTAAAACGTAGTGATTAGCGAGTACGGAAAAAAGAAACCATGCAAGTTTAGTGAAAACGTCCCTTATGCTCAACACAGTACAAAAGGGTTAAAGTATGAGAATTTCATGAGTTTTGAAAACATTTATGTTTAGCTTGTACTCCCCCCTTGAAACCATTAAAAATACGGAAAATGTAGGGGTATGAACTCACCTCGAGCGAGTGGTTTGATTGAAGGATCGATACGGAAAGCTGGGTGTTCAAGTGAAGCCTTAATCACGATTCGATCCTAATTATCACGCAATGACACATAAAAGA